CAGGAACTAAAATACCATCACAAATGTTAAATCCCGACACAGGAACCCCGTAGTTTAGATCGGATACAATTTTATCACACATTCATTTTAGATGTTCAGATCTTGGATTTCACTGACCAATTTAGATCACTGAAGCGATTAACAATATCAGAACGGCCTGTTTTTGTTTTTATATATAACTGTTGGTTTATTATGTTTTTTAATCAGAATTTGTACAGGGATGCTTGCTTTCTTTCTCGTTATGTGTTAATATATGCAAGATGATGGGTACGGTACATGGAAAGAGTAGTATTACTTGTCTCAATGGAATACGTGTTCTCAGTATGTTTTGGATAATTCTCTTCCATTCGTACCTGTTTGTTGGTCAGTATTATCCTACAGTCGGTAAGTTACATTTTTTGTTATTATAAGTCTTTGTCATTTAAAGCAGTAGTAATCAGATCGATTTCTTCAAAAAGTTAAACCCGCCTTTTCATTTCCGTGAATTATTTTCAACTTTCATTTAAATTTACAGGCAACTTTCGTTACGCCACCGAGATTGATCAAGGTCGGACCGTTGTGCTTTGGAAAGGTGATCTAGCAGTTGAAGCATTTTTGGTTCTTAGGTAAGGAGAAAGGTCATAATAATAATAATAATAATAATAATAATAATAATAATAATAATAATAATAATAATAATAATAATAATAAACGGACGATTGATAGAATGAATGGATGGACTATTTATACATCCATAGTTATTTGTTAATGTTGATTTTTTTTTCATAGTGGCTTGTTAGTGAGCTACCTGACGCTGAATCAGTTGCATCGACGTGGTGGTCCAAGGCATCTCAACTGGTTGTTATTCTATTTCCATCGATACTGGAGGTTGACACCTGTCTACATATTTGTAATGATGTTGTACGCTACATTAGTCATATACGTGTCCGACGGACCGCTTTGGTGGCAGTGGTACTACGTACAGGCCGAGTGTGCTGCTACTATATGGGAACACATACTTTACCTTAATAACTTTATACCATTCCCAGGTGACGTTGGAGGGGTGAGTAAGAACGCAACTATTTGGTCGGCTAAAATAAACATTCTTGTCCAAACATTCAGAGGTTGTATATTATTTCACGAAAGCAGTAATTGCAAGCATATATATTTTATCCAGTACTCAGATATTTTAGGGATTATAGAGTATACTTTATTTGAGTGCTAATATGTTAAAGGGCGGTAGTCGTCGCGCCACGCATGCGCGAGATATATGGGTCCCATATAAACAAAGATGGCGACTTTGACTGTACATGTTGCGCAGTTCAAAGAGTACAAACTGCGACCGTCAGGTTACCATGCTTTAATTAGGTCACCGGCGGTAATTAGTGCAAGTCGCGCCCAGGTCAAACCTCATACTTGTGATTGCCATTAGAAGAGCGCATAGGATTTTGGGAAAATCATTGTCAAATGTCGCACATGCGCAGCGCGACGACTGTCGTCCTTTAAAATAAACCATTATAGCTGGATTCGAATGGTTTGTTTGATATTGACATAGTCTCCATATCTAATTGTACTCTGAATTGGTATATGTTAACAGTGTTTTGGATGGTCGTGGTATTTGGCAGTAGATATGCAGTTATACTGGATGAGTCCTATTTTCATCATAGTGTTTTACAAGTAAGTTAACAACTATAGTTAAACATATAAGGCGACTGCCAGGAATACTAGCGCTGCAATATATTGTAAAACATGTCTTTTTCGCGAGCATGTTTTTTTCGCGAATTTAGCGAGAGAACTGATTCGCTAATGCAAGATGTCGCTAATGACTTTATTATCAATTCAAAATGGCCGCCAAACAAAGAAATTAGCAATGACAAGAGAGATTCGCTAAATCAACATTTCACTATTACGTCATTTTACCACAATTGGCTAAAATTGCATGCCGCTTTTTCAACATGTTTTACAGTAGCTCAATCCACTTGTTTCATAGTATTATACAAGCAAACTGTCAGTTAAATATACATAGCTCCTTTGTAGGGTATACATTTCCTAGCTTATTCGAAATTTTGAAAGAGACATTGTCTTCTTTCGTTAAAACAAAAGGGTTGTGCGTAGAGCGAGTCGCCTTAACTTTCAAAGGTTTTTTGGCAGATAGATTGAGCATATGAATAAATGTGATAACACTGTTATGCATTCAATCTCAGATGGCATCATTGTCACTCGGGTTTCCTACATAAACTATCTGATTATGACGCGTACCAATTGTGGAACAGAATACTACTCATGCTTTTTGAAAACGACTACCATCGCTTTCAATTTGTTTTAGATTTCTATATTACAATGTTTGTAAAATGTTACAGAAATTCCCTTTTATTGCAGGTCTCGTAATGGTGGAATATGTCTGACTGCTTTGACAACTTGCTTTTGCATAGCATTATCAGCATATTTTGCAACTGTACAAGGAATGCCATTCGGTGTCGACAGAGTGTAAATATAACATCTTTATGCACTGCCACAGAGTGTATTCCAATCATTGCTTTATTTAATTCGCCTTTTATTTTATAAATTATAACTTTTGTTCAATATAAAACAGCTGCGGTAGTTACAACGCGTCCACGCTAATTATCATTAATATTTTGACAATTTTGCAGAAAGTATAGATATCCAAAACATGAAGAAGGGGCGTGGCTGTACACAAAACCGTGGTATCGTTTACCCAACTATCTTGTTGGTATAGTCTTGGGATATATATTATTTAAACTCAATGGTAAAAAGGTGCAAATAAATAAGGTCAGTATTCATGTTGATTGAGTTGTTAAACATTTATGTCTATTCGAGATTATAACACACGTTGCCACTGCGTTGAAGCGAACATAATTATATATTCCAAACTTCCTCGGCTTGTTGTGTGAGCGTGTTCAAAAGCAGGATTCGAAACTGCTGTTGGTAATGTAGGTTTTCCAGATAAAACAAATAAATCCGCCAGACTCCGACACAAGTCGTGAACGCAGTAACAACTGACTCCAGTTCATGGCCCACTTTACTGGCCAAGTTAAAAAGACATTTCAAATAAGTTTAACAGATAATAACACTTTGGTATGTAGTAAATATATGCATCACGGGTCTCGACGTTAAGGTAGAATTGACAATGTTAAATAATATTAATATTAAAACAAAAAACTAAGAACGACCATACACAACCGTATAACATTCATTGTTGTTCCCTTTTCAGTATTTGAACATTTTTATATGGTGCTGTGCCTTCGCCGTTGCTTTATCTATTGTATATGGTGTACTGACATCCGTCGCTGGTATCCGCATATCACAAGGGGCAGCAGTGCTGTATATAACGATCCATAGACTTGTGTTTTCGGTGTGCGTTGGTTGGGTGGTATTTGCATGCGCTACTGGGAATGGAGGTAATTCTATCAAATAGTAAACACGTCTATTCTGCATGAATATTTGTATGTAACTATACCTAGTTGGACACCAGATATGATTATATTTTGTCTAGTCGCATCTGTATTACATTTCAAATAATTGACATTATCGTATAATAAACAATTTACATGTTAACTGGCACATTTAAAATAAAACAAGAGGTTGAATTCTTTTGTGAAATAAATTAATGCACTGTAGATGTTAGAAATTTTCAAAGCAAGGTGGAGTTCCGTACTCCCCAAAGCAATATACTATTCACAACTACCACCCGTTTATGATTTAAAAACACCTCAAAAGGAAAAGCATGTACCCATGCACAATGTTATAATGCCTCTTGGAATGAACTAATTGTATCGACACCGATATTAGCGTTTCTCTCTTGTACTACCCATTGAGCAAGTAGTATCCGTATTTTGAATCTGCAGGTTGAGGAAACACGAATAACGTTAAATAAAACAAGAAACTATAACGATAGTCAAGATTGGCCACGCAATCCTAACACCCAACACTTTTGACCAATCAGAGAGCAGCTTGTTTTGTTGAAAGATCATATTCTGTCTACTATATATGCTTCGGCACAACTGTCTGTGTGTCTCCACTAGATGAATATAAGTGCGATTATGAAATTCAAATAACTATTATTGTGTTTAGGCCCAGTGAATACAATACTGTCATGGCGTATCTGGTTACCTCTAGCCAGAATGAACTACTGTGCGTACCTGGTACATTTAGTGGTGATATTTATCTATACCTTCAGTATGAAATCATTGTATTACTACTCTGATTTGGGATTCGTAAGTAAATCTTTTACTTTAATAGCTTTCTACTTTATATTATAAAGCTACATATCTACTTTATGTATATTTAAGGAGCAATTCGCCCACGATGCTTTATTGTGTTAAAATGAACTGTAATCTATTGATTATTAGATAAAATGCAAATGGTTTTGCGAGGGGGTCAGACATATATTCAAAACTGGCTGAAGTAGACAAACGGCTTAGTCTTTTCCACGAAACGAAACAAACACTAACCCTAACCCTAACTCGCATTTGTTTCATTGACCTAATAATACACGTATCTGAGAGAATTTCACACTGTGAAACACGAAATGAAAAGTGAAAAGCGCGATTCAGTGTTCAACAATTCCAAAATGGCTGTCACGTCATGTCAGCACAAAACAATCGAGCTGCAAAGTAGGCGGAAAAGAGGTGGAAACTAAATATTATCGACAAATGTATTTCTGTGACGTGCGATGTTTGAAGTCGTTCATAATTTTGTTTTTTTCCCCGTTTCGTTTCGTGGAAAAGACTAAGCCTAGACAAACTCACAAAGTATAGTGACCAATATATTAAATCTGTGTACAAAAACAGTATTTGATTTGCGAAAAATACGGCTGAAACATAGTATTGGGCGTGGTTTAAAGTAGTATTCAACGAAGTCTGTAATTCTCCAGATCATTAACATAATTTTTACAGTAAATTTACAACATCAGCTAACACTTATCTAAACAACCTTTTTTTTGTAATACTTCATAAATCGACAAATTTCTTTTGCAATCAACCATATTTGCATATACTTTGATTCATATAATTACAAATATAAATTTACATTCAATATGTGTTTAATTTCAGACTCTAGACTTTATTGGGATTCTGGTGGTTACATATAGTGTATCCTTTGTTATTGCAATTGCTGTGGAACTTCCTATGCTGGAGCTTGAAAAGGTGATAATACCAGCAAAATATCGGAAAGTACAGCCGAGTAAAAATTGATATTCAGCTTAGCTCTTCAACTTGCAAGACTCCATAATCTATTTGCATAATACCTGTAAACCAAAACTCAAGAAAGCACCACGCCCACAAAACTCGGTTCATTGCTGGATCATCCAATTATTCATCTAAGAAGTGGCTCAACACTTCAATATTTATAGATATATATATTTTACTATCGAAGTAGAACTCTAGAAATTTTGTGATGTCATTTTTTTCTAGCTATAAGTGTATAAATCAAATGTGGATTTCGAAACACTTGAAGTATGTAGTTAATAGTTAAGGCGACCGAGATACGATATATAAAAAATAGGGGCAAGTAAAACAAAATAAAACACACACAAATATTAAATTGGAGCCAATACCTACATCAACATAGCATGTCGTAACATGTTCGAATATTTGACATTGTGTCCTTTGACTCGCACAACAGTTTTAATGATTATAAAGGAGGATATCGTCTGGGTATGTTATTTCTACATTCCTAATATTATATTTAATTCAATGTAAAACTTTTATTTTTCATCTTTACAGTACATTCTTTTTACATTTTATATGTTTTTTAGCATTAGTAATAAATAGAATTTTCAATTTTATTTACGAATTTGTTTCGAAAGTTATTTCGTATAGATTGTTGTATGATATTACAATGTACACACAATGCTATCGTTTGGGGCATTCATGTAAATACTGAAAACCACTAAGTAATAAGTCAATGTCACATGTGTACAATAATTGCCACTGATGTACAAAATCATTGCACGGCCTTAATATATGTGTTCACCGATATTATAGTGGAGCATATCGCTTACAGTTGTATTATCATTTGGATCGAGATATAGCGTTGTATGCCTTGCAATCAACATACATATATTAATGGTCTGAAGTATATTGTATTGTATTACTAGGTTATATTAGGATGTGGAATCTCATGGTATAGTATTGAAGAATATGGAAAGGAATTGTATGATATCGTACAGTATAGTGAGACATGGACATATCATTGGTTTGGTAACTATTTATAGTATTATGATTAAGGTTGCGTATAATATGATTACAGTATGTTTGAGTGCAATGTACCATAGGTATAGTATGATATTTAGAATTTAAGTAGATGGTGGTGGTGTGTTAATTTGGACTGAGATATGATGTATGGTGTGGTATTTATGATTTAGATATGATGTGGTATGGGCATGGTATTCAGAATTTAAGTGTGTAAACGTACGTTGTGTTTGCAAACATCTCGCATAATTAGCATCTGTATTAACTGTCAGAGTGGATACCACTGAGTGGATGGAATATATATCAAAAGATCGGTTGAACTCGTTATTATTTAGTAATACAAATTGGGTATCGCAAAGAAATGCAATCACAATTCGTACAACGAGGCATCACCGGGCTACATATACTTGTTTTTTCTCGCACGTTTGACATTCCTGGAATCCATTCCGCATGTATTGCTGTTTGACAATTAGGTGTTCGTATGCACTGAATTTTTCCACAAAAAAACGCCGAATTCGGCCGAATTTTGTTATCGGTGGGCTTATTATAACCCCACCGGATCCTATTTTTGTGAAAGATTGGCATTTTTGTCCAGATTTGTAGGAAACTGAAAAACGCGTTTCACAACTTGTCTCTTATTTAGGTTTATGCTGCATTCAAGATGGCGGCCCCCATATAGTAAATATCGTATTTATTTTAATATCACGTGTGCGCCAGCTGACTGTGTAAGAATCGATCATAAGTGCAACACCAAATGTGGTAAATACACATATAATCATGTGAATTGTAACTTAAATTGTAATAATAATCATGAATTGAAATGTGCTATGTACTAACAATACTTGTTTCAAATGTATTGCTTTGAATGATAGTATAACTAAATATAAAAGTACATAAACTATAGCAACTATCAGTTAACTTCGCCTGATATATAGGAAATGGCAGTGATAGCAAATGAAATAAACTGGCAATTACGGTATTCTGACCACCAACAGCTCTCGATAAATATTTACATATATATAATTTGTTGACGTAATGAGTTTATCATGTGCTGCTTCAGTTTCCCATGTGATATATATTTGTGCGTTTCCGGAATCACCATCATTGATCTCTTTCGTAATTTCGACTACTCAACGTATTCTTTGTTGTTTTCAAAGGCAGATTTGTTGCTCAACTGTATCGGTTTCAACTATCATTATAGTTCTGCCATTATACTTGGGCTAAATAACATGATTAACACGTGGGTACAATTCCGTACTAACTACACGAGGAGTGTAGAGTATTTTACGGTTGAATTGTATTACACATATAGTTGAAGGCCGTGATAGTCGCATGGT